CTGCAGCGGATGAGGGCCCCCTTGCCTTGTTGGACCTCAGAGGGCTTACGTAGTACCAGGGCCCTGGCAAGGGGAAGCCTGGGCAAGGAGGTGCAGGAAGACGTGGGATGGGCAGCCATCCCAGCAGAAATCCCAGTGGCTGGAGCAAGTACGTGACCCTGTGACCCTGTTCCTTTCACCTGAGAAAACCCCGTGGTAGACAGTGCTGGGCTAGTGTAGTCATGCCACGGGCTCTTTTGGTCACATCCCCTGCCATTTGGGATCTGTCGAGGCTGACGACAACACCTGAGCACTTGGCAGGGAGGGGGGCACACCCCTAAACTCAGCTGCACAAGACCTTTTCAAGCATTGAGCAGTAAGGGTGCTACTTTGAGGACTAAGGTGCACCAGACCCAAGCCATGGTAGTTTTGATCACTTCCTATATGGGTGAAAGTTGGACATTGACTACGGAGGTCCGAAGAAGAATGGATGCATTTGGAATTATGGTGCTGGTGACCAATATTGAAAGTGCCCCATGGACCGTCAAAAGGACAGACAGATCTATCTTGGAAGACGTACAGTCAGAATGTGCCTCGCAGCCCAGGATGGCGAGGCTTTTTCTCACGTACTTTGGGAACGTTGTCAGGAGAGACCAGTCCCTGGAGAAGGACATCAGGCTTGGTGAAGCACTGGGGCAGTGGAAAAAAAGAAGCTCCTGGACAAGGTGGATTGACACCGGGGCTGCTTCGATGGGCTCAAACATAGGAGCAATTGTGGGGATGGCGCAGGACCGGGCAGTACTGCGCTCTGTGGTGCCTTACAGGGTGGCTATGCATTGGGATGGACTTGATAGCACCTAGCAGCAACACCAATAACTCATTTTGAGAATGGAGTAGGCATTAAAGGGAAAGAAAAATCGAACAATAACAAAACTGGGTTTCTGAAAGCAAATGTTTTGAGAAGGATGATGGCAACAAACGTACAAATGTGCTTGACACAATGGATGGATGTCTGGATTGTGATAAGAGTTGACCAAGCCCTCAATAAAACGCTTTTAAAAACAAAACTCTGGGCTTCTAACTGAGCAGCTGGCAAAGTTGATGGCTTGACTCCACCCAGAAGTACCTGGGTGATCTCCTGCCAACAGATCACAGCCATGGACATCCCCAGGGGCGCAGTTCTATGCTGAACCACATGGGGTCGCCATGCATCAGCAGCCACTCCAGGGAGTCTGGTGCCATGAAGGCCATTTCCTGGATGATGCTCAAGCCTCCCAACGGCTGCAAATGTGACACTCCCACATTTTGCTGCAAAGGGCCAGGGAAGACCAGGCCCTGCTCTCCTCATGAGCTGACGTCTCAGAACCCCACAGGGGCAGTTCTACTCTGTCACTAGGAACAAAAACGCACCCAATGGCAGTGAGTTTGAGGTTCGAGTTTGCTGCAAAGGGGGCTGGGAAACGTAGGCTTTAGTCTCAGAAATTAATATGACAACTATAAGCGGAATCCTGATCCTTTCCTACACGTTGAGTTCTAGAGGGACTAACTGCCCATCAAGTCCATACTGACTCCTAGTGACCCTACTGCCCAGGGTAGAACTGCCCCTGGGAGTTTCTGAGACTGTAACTCTTCTCGGGAGTAGAAAGCCCCGGTCTTTCTCCCAGGAAGGGGCTGGGGATTTTGCGCTGCTGAACTTGTGGTTAGCAGCCCAGTGGGTAACCACTATGCCACCTGGGCACCTCTAGGGGGACAGACATCCTGGATTCAGTGTTTAGCACTGGTGGCCTAGTAGGTTATGCCTTGAGCTACTGATCTAAGGTGACCAGACATCCCGATTTTTAACAATTTTTCCTGCATCCCGTGGTGTTTTTAAAAAGTCCCAATTTTTGGAAAGAATGCACGACATGCTAGGGTATACAGTTTTCAGCTGCCATGTGGCTATTTCGCCAGGATATGAGTTTTATCAATGGTGTCCCGCTTTACCAATGTTAAAATCTGGTCACCTTATACTAACCACAAGGTCAGCAGTTCAAACCCACCAGCCTCTCCAAGGGAGAGAGATGAGACTGTCTACTCTTGTAAAGATTTACAGTCTCGGAAACCCACCGGGGCAGTTCTACTCTGTCTTGTAGGGTTGCTGTGAGTCAGAATCAACTTGATGCCAATATGTTTTAACCTCCATGCATACTTCTGTATCATAAATACAAGAGCATAATATTAGAACATCATAAATATTATATTAGAGGTTTTTGAGATGTATATAACTGGCTACTGACTATGTGACTCATTGGGAAACTTGTTTTGCCCTCAACATTGACCTTCAGGTTTATGCACAACTGATAACTCTAATTCTGCTTCAGTTGCTTATCGTGGAGCCTTGATGACGCAAACTGTTGCAGTGGCTGGTTGAGAACCTCGGGGTGGGCTGTTCAAACCCACCAGCCGCTCTGCAGAAGAAAACTGCGCAGGTTGCTACCCTAACCATTTACACAGCCCTGGTGGCATAGTGCGTATGTGTTGGGCTGCTAACTGCAGGGTCAGCAGTTCAAGACCACCAGCCTCTTCATGAGTCCCATAAAGAGTGACAGTCTCAGAAACTCACAGGGGCAGGTCTACACTGTCCTATAGGATCATGAGCTGGTATAGACTCGATGGCAGTGGATTTGGTGTTATGCGTCAGAATCTACTTGAAGGTTCTGGGGGGCTAGATTCCAGCAGATGATAAGACCACAGGGTGTTTTTATGGCCTTTTGATCCTTCAGCTATTGCAAGGGATTGCTATTCAACTAGCTGCATTTCGCAGACAACGGCACATATCTCTGTGTGTCTGCCTGCATACTTCCTCTAGACTTACCCTCTTCGCTCCAGTCCATTCTGACCGATAGCACCCCCAGGGGGCAGAGCAGAACCACTCCACAAGGTTTCTGAGCATGTCGGTCTTCATGGGAGCAAGCGGCCTCAGCTTTCCCCCTGGGAGCAGCTGCTGGATTTGAACCACCGCACCACCAGCAGTTCTTTTCTCTAAAACAGGAGTTCTCCAAAGTAGGGGCCCTGGACCAGCACCACCACTACCACCACCATCAAACTGGTCGGAAATGTGATCCCCCCTCAAACTCCCTACCATCAATTCGATCCCGACTCATCATGTCCTGACAGGACACAGTAGAACTGTCCCTGTGGGTTCCCGGGGTGATGACTCTTGACTGAGCAGCAAGCCTCATTTTTTCTCCTGAGGAAGTTCATCGACACCCTTGATAGATGCCTGCAGCCACTTTGCCCAGTGCCCCATTGGCATCCCAGCTCTACGGCCTCCCTCTTAGCTTCGGCCTGCTCTCGCTGGGTCCCCTTTCTCTGCTCAGAGAGGTCAGGAGAGTGTCATATCCCCAGGACTGTCACACAGCTCGTGTCCAGCCAGGACATGAGAGCCCGGTCACCCCGTCTCACAGGCACCCCCTGCCCCCGTCTCTGTGAGCGGTTCTCTTGGACGGCTCCTCACTTGGTTTGAGGGGTGGGGAACTGAGGGGAAAGCCATAGCAAGGGAGCCCCCTCCACAAGCTGTCAACTCCCACGAGCCCCTCCCTTTCCCTGGTCAGCTTCATTAAGGGTCCTGAGGGGATCATCAAGGGAGCAGGGATTCCCCGTGGGCCTTGGAGGGGCTCTCTTTGGGGTCTGGTTATTTCCCACCTCTTTCTTCCCAGCGTTGGGGTCCCTGTTGCCAATTCTTGGGCAACATATAGTTCCTTCCTTTTAGCTTGAGGCATTTGATGGTAGTGGGAGTCCGTGGGAGTCCCTGAGGGGTGGGGGGGTCTATGTCCAAGGCTATTAACCAAAAGGTTAGCGTTGGGAGTCCCCCCAGAGGCACCTCGGAAGAAATCCCTGGCTATCTCCTTCCCACGATGCACCGGTCAGCTGACAACCCCCTGCGGCACAGGTGGGTCCCCATGATTCATTGCAGCTCAGCAGCAGCTCGCACGGAAGCATTGGACAACGGGATGGCAAAGAATGGCGCTTCGTTCAGAAACAGGGCCAGAGGGTGGAGCCTCCTCTCCACCGCTCCTCGAGTGTGCACCCCTCACCACTCACAAATACAGTTTTGGCAAAGATTAGATTTGTCTGCGAGGGGCAGGAAACTCCAAAATAAAAAATGGTTTCAACACAAGAGATCTCTCTCTGTCTCTCATGCAACAAGGACCAGCCTGTTTGGAGCTCATGCCGCCACGCTCCTCAGCACAGGGCTTCTTCCTCAGGATCCAAAAGGGCTGCTTGGGCTCCAGCCATCCTGTTCACCTTCCACCTGCAGGAAGGGTCAGGGGCAGACGGAGGGCGTGCCCCTGCCCTTTCAGGCAGCTCCCTAGAAGTTGCGCCCTGCTTCCTTGCAGCGTGTCCACCAGCCAGGATGTGGTCCCACAGAATGTGGATCCCCGGTGGTCTCGTGGTTATGCCTTGGCCTGCTAATCCAAAGATCAACAGTTCAAAACCACCAGCAGCTCCTTGGGAGAAAGATGGAGCTCTCTACTCCTCTAAAGAGTTAATGTCTTAACAACATGTAATTGATCATGGAGTTAGAGTCTTAACACTGTCATTGATCAAGGAGATAGCATCTTAACAATATGTAATTGATCAAGGAGTTAGCATCTTAACACGATGTATTTGATCAAGGATTCATGAGGTTGGGGGGGGGGAGGGAAAAAGAGGAGCTGATATCAATGGCTCGAGCAGAACACGTTTTGGAAATGATGATGGCAACATATGTACAAATATGCTTGCTGCAATCGGTGTATGGAATGTTACAAGAGCTGTAAGAGCCCCCTATAAAATGATTTTAAAAAAGAGTGAGCATCTCAGAAACCCACAGGGGCACTTCTACCCTGTTCCACGGGGCCGCTCCGTGTCTGCACTGGCTCAGTGGCAGTGAGCTGAGGACCTGTCTAGCTGCAAGGGAAGCTGAGAAAGGCGGTCTTCGGTATGAGTCTACCTCCGGTTTGACCATCTCTCTTCCCTTTCCCTGGTCTGGCCGGCAGTGGGCACTGGCCCGGGGGGCAACTGCACGGGCTGCGTCATCTGCTCCGAGGAGAACGGCTGCTCGGCCTGCCAGCAGAGGCTCTTCCTGTTCATCCGCAGGGACGGCATCCGCCAGTACGGCAAGTGCGTGCATGACTGCCCCCCTGGCTACTTCGGCGTCCGCGGCCAGGAAGTCAACAGGTGCAAAAGTATGTGGCTCCACCTTGTCCCACCCATGCTAGCCAGGCTCCCAGCCCACGTTCCACCAGCTCGCCCAGCCCGGCACAGCCACAGGGGCAGTGAGTCTGAGCGCAGACTCCCGGCCGTCTGGTGCCAGAAGGGCCCTACAGCCCTGGGCAAGTCAATGCCCTCTGTGGTTCCCCGTACCCATGGGGCAGGGGGACCTTCACCTCTACCTTAGGAGTTTGCTGTGTGGTGTTTGGCAAGTTTCCCACCCTCTCTGATCCTAGCTCAAAGGGGAAACGGAGTCCTGACTCCCTTGGTGTTTCCTCTCTGAGTGGTGACGTTTTCTGTGACAAAGCCTCACCGAGCCTTGGGTAGGGACTCCTCCCATGGGGCTCAGGTTTGCTGTCCAACGCTGCACAAGTCCGTCTCTTGCCCAGTCTGAGCCTCCGCTCAGTGAGAAAGGTTAAGAAACGTAAATAGTCACATGACCTTGGACCTGAGTCTTGGTTCTTATACCTAAATTCTGTTCCCAGGGGCGGGCAGCCAACTCTGACTGGTCTTCTGAGTCCTAATGCCCAGTTTACAGACCCTGCCTCACCCCCTAGCCAACCCGAGGTCCCCCCTCAGGCAGCCCTTCCCCTGAGAAGCTACCCTCACTAGGGTGTCCCTGGCTCTGTTACAGAATGCGGGACCACTTGCGAGAGCTGCTTCAGCCAGGACTTCTGCATCCGGTGCAAGAGGCGTTTTTACCTGCACAAGGGGAAGTGTCTGCCCACCTGCCCACGGGGTACTATGCCCCACCAGAACACACGGGAGTGCCAGGGTGAGTGGGACCCCCCCCCCATCCCCCAGCCCCTGCTTCCAGCCCCTCCCTAGAGCAGGCAGAAGTCAGGGAGCATATCTTGTGTGGGGATGTAAATAGCTGCACCTGGCAAGCCTTCCACAAATGCTCTAGAACTCGCTTCCCCCTCCCTCTAAGCACCACCGTTATCACTACTGTCAGTGGGGTTAGTGCTGGGGGAGGGGGTGGGGCATCGATGAAGAGCACTCAAAACCAAACCAAACTCCCTGCAAGGAGTCAGTACTGACACACAGCCACCCCATGGGACCGTGCAGAACGGCCCCTGTGAGTTTCCCAGACTGGGACCCTTTACAAGAGTAGAAAGCCCCATCTTTCTCCTGAGGTGCAGTGGGTGGTTTTGAACTTCCGACCTTGCAGAGTACAGCCCAATGTGTAACCACCATGCCACCAGGGCCTTGCAAAGAGCACTGGTTTGGGAACAAGATCTACCTGGGTTTGAATCCCAAGTCTCAAACATACCCACGTGTGGCCTTGGGCTAGGAGGCCTGGGGCAGACGAGGCCAGCAGTTCAAACCCACCAGCTGCTCCTCGGGAGAAAAGAGAGGCTCTCTGTGCGCCCGTAAGGAGTTACCGCCTCGGAAATGCTATCTAAGGTTGCTATGCGTCAGAGCTGACTCGACGGCACTGGGTGGGTTGTGACCTTTTTTGAGCCCACAAAAAACTGTCCTTTAGTTAAATGACACTAGCGTCTACCTCAGGGGGGCGGGGGGGGAGGGGCGCGGGTTGTTATGAGTTAAATCCCTGAGCACAGTGTTGAAGACATAATACAGTAACTGCCACATGCTGACGACGGTGAGGATGATTGTCTGGCCAGCCCTTTAGTCTCCCCTTGAGCTCCTCTGCGGGACTCCGCCCCTTCCATGACGTCATTCCTCAGCATCCTGGCCTGAACCATGACTCCTCTGCCCACAGGCAGCCAGCCACCCCAGCCACGTTGCTCCCCAAGCAGCAGGCCCTGGCCTCTGGACACCCCCTTTCCACCCTCCCCACCCACAGCCTGGCCTCTTCTATCCTTAACTGGTTCCATGTTGGGTCTGGTGGTAGAGTGAGTTCTTCATTGGTCTGCTCACCTCAAGGTCAGCAGTTCAAAGCTACCAGCTGCTCCTTGGGAGAACATCAAGGCTTTCTACTCCCGTAGACAGTGAGTCGCAAAAACTCACGGGGGCAGGCCTGCCCTGTCCTGGAGGTTGCTGTGAGCCAGCATGGGCTCAATGGCCGTGAGTTTTGTGAGGTGTCCCACCAGGTCTTGGCCACTTCCCTCCCCCTCCCCCTGCTTCCCATCCCACTAGGTCATCTATTCACTCAGCAAATGTTGACGGAGCACCTGATACCCACCAGGCACTCTCCCAGGTGCTTGGGGTTTATCAGTGACCAACATGGGCATAGCTTCCGCCCTCCTCAATACGCCATGGGAGCGAGGAGACAGGAGACATGCCAGACTATGTACCTAATGTGTCAGGTGGCTAATAGGACCTTAAAGCTCCCAAGCACGCTCTCTGCCTTCTCCCCCTCCCCCTCCCT